TATAAAACTATAAAAAAAAAGAAAGCTGACTTATATAGCACAAAATGAATATGTAACACACAAATATATAAATATATCTTATGTATAGGCATACACAGGGGTAGTTGTAATACCTGTAGTGCAACAGAAAGCCTTAATTATGTGTGTGGAGTGATTTAGCAGACAAACTTTTTTTTTCCCTGAGAAGTAACTTTTAAGCCACTTCACATGGCTCAAAGACTGGGAATTGGTATCAGTGGGAAAGGGAAGAAATGAGACATGTTTAGAAATACCAATGTTTCCAAACATAAATATTTCTATTTCTGGTTTGTTAAACCTGTTTTAATCCTTTTGGGGTCCTGGGGAGGAGTAAAATAGCCTAAAGGTAAGACTTATGATGTAAAAGACTGTTTGCTATGACCTTGACAAACCTATGAACTGACCAAGAGAGGTGATGGCTCCAGAGTGCACAGTGCATATTTTGCATTTCTAATGTCTAGAAGATTCAATACATCTGAAATATAGCAAGAGAATTTCCTGCAGGGCAGTGGAGATGTCCTACTGACAAGAGGGAGCTGTATTCTTTTCTCATCACCTCATAAACAGTGGGGTTCTGACTGAGGATGTTAGGTAATGCTTGCCACATACAGAACTCAAGGGGGTATTACTTTCATTGTATAACCCTTTGAGATCTGAGGCAGTATTGTTTAACAAAGCATATTGTTTTTCCCTCTTGCTTTTACTGAGCTTTGATGCTGGTTTTAGAACTCGACAGCTGTGTTTAGACTTGTCTTACAGCTCTCGTACAGAGCAGGGGAAATAGAGATGTTTGGGGCACCAGGCAACGTGAACTGTGTGGAGGGAATAGAGCCAAGATTTGCCTTGGGAAAGTGTGGAATTGGTCCACAATGATGAAATTGAGGCACCCTCCTTTGGGGAGACTCCTTAGACATGAATGGGGTGCTGGTTGCTTGTGCCCCACCCAGAGGTGTGTGTCTCAGGGAGTGACTCGTGGCCACTTGCCACCCTAGCTAGGCACCATGCTCCACAGGGGTTCCTGCCTTTGCTTGGGGTTGGCATCCACAAGATCTTCATTGACCCCCAGCACTGCTTGATTTTCCCTGCAGTACTCTTAATTTTTGCAGTGTTTAGGTATGAGTATTTTGTGTGGCAAAATAATTAGAATGAAAAAATAATTATTAGGAATGATCTCTGAAAAAAAAAAAAAAGAATTTGTTACAGCTATTTAATAAATGAAAAAAACCTTTTTGTCATTGCTCTCAAGTCTCTAACATCAATTCTTGTAGAATTGTGTAAGTTCATCCTTAATGGCGTAAAGAAAAGTGTATAGTTTATTTTTATTCAGTAGCTGAGTTTATAGGCCCATCTTTGAATAATTATGGATATCTTGTTCAATATCTGAAAATTGTGATATTCTGCCATCTCTGCAGATACCAGAGGAGATGTCTTGAATGGCTTAGTGGGACTGCACACAGGAAACTAGAGACTGGGTTGAAATAAAAAAAAAAAAAAGAAAGAAATAAAGACATTCAAAACTAATTAAATAGAAGTCAGCACAATCCTATTCAAGTTCTGAATATATTGTCTCTCCTCTCTCATCATCTCTCCTCTCTAATGCAGAAGAAGACCCAAGAATCTTAATTCTTCTCCACTTCTGTAAGGTTCCATATAAACAAGGGCTCTTAATGAATTGTGTGTCACAATATTGTTTTGTTTTCTTTTGAGAGTGATATTTCAGCGGTGCTTGCTTAAGTCACAGCATTGATGAGAGAATTCCTGAGTTTGAGTAAGATTGTATCCAAAGGAAGGTTTCAGGTACGCTCAGATATGTGTTTCTGTGATGTTTAGGTACATTCTTATTTCCAAGATGGAGTGAATCTTAAGAGCACAGAGCCCTGGGCAGCTTCTACAGTTTCTCTGTAGAAACACCATCTCCTCATGCCTTGACCTTGTCTATTCTATAAAAACACTTCTTCCACTCTGATATGTCATGTCCTCAACTTTGTTTTCTCACCTTCTTTCCAGAATTTATTTGCCTTTGGCAGCTGATGGATGTGGCATGATGAGCAATCCTTGCCATCCATTGCACGTACTTGAACACACTTTGAATTAATTTTTAACTGGGTATCAGAAACAAGGATAATTTACCAACTTTTAATCATTTCACAACTGATCAGTTTGATCAGCAGGAGTGTAAAATCAGTACACTTCTAAGTCAATAAAATATTGTTTGTTATGGGTCAGTATCCTGCATAAATAGAAGTTCAGAGACTTTATTTGGGTACTGAATACAACCTGCATTTATTTTCAAAGAACAAAATGCACTACAGGATTTTCACTTCTAACGTAAGTTGCTAAAAATATCCCCATAACTTAGCCCCCACATTTCAGTCACTTTAGAGAGGAAAAATCTAAAAATTCTTAGAGTATTCTTTGTCAATTTAGAACCAGGCCCAAATTTCATCGCTTGCACAATTCTTCATTTTCAAATCTCTGTGTTTGGTAGAAATGTCTGGAATGTGGAGTATTGTATTTAAAAATAAAGAAAACCAATTCTTAATAGCCACTCTATCATTTAGCTAAACAAAATCCCATACCCACACTATTCTGGAAGCAGGGAGTAGTGAGGATGGGGGAAGTTGTGGGAAAAAAAAAAAATTAGGAGTAAAACTGTATATACAGTGGCCAGAATTAATCACTCAGAGGTTTGGAACAAAGATGAAAATATAAATTAAACAAAACTGCCTTTATTCCCTAAAATACTTAAAATGCTAGTGCATGAATTCAGAGGGTGCAGTGTTTAGCTCCCAAGAAAACTGTATGAAAGGCCAGGAAGCCACTTCTGCTTGGTTAGCCTTATACCAAGCATCAAAGCAGAAAGGTATCTCATTTCCATATATAACTTTGAAGTATTTTATAAATAAATTCAGAAAATGTGCCTTAGAGTAGTTCTTGCCAGGCTGCCTTGCAGCAGAAGAATAAATAAAAACTAGAATGTCTCTTTGCTGGAAGATGTACCAGTACTGTATTGTTCAAAACTTCTTCATCTGTCTAGCAATTCTTGGTTTGTGAAGACAGGTTTTTTATTGCCTTGGGATAATTCTTTTTTTTCCTCTGCTCTCATAAACCTTCCATATGCTTCTATATCCATGTCTTGTTTTAATTTCAGTGAAGGTTTTTATTTGGAGTCTCATAAAATTCTAATTTACTGCCACTTCTTTTTATAAAATGCAGAAGGGAGGAGGGGAGTACTGAGATAGCACGTGCAAGGCAGTACCAAGGAATGCATTTGAGGATTTATAACGTTGGGCAGTTTATTAACCCCTGCTTCAGTTATTGGCAACTACTTTTCCTAACTCTCTAACCTATGAGCCAGTGTTCTCATGGTGCATTTGGAGACATGTCACATCAGTCTATGTAAGTAAGGAAGTCATCTTATCTTACTTATCCAAACTGCATTTGCAGAAAGTGAAGGGAAATCAGCTAAAAGAGCCTCCCCTGTACATGTTGTGCTTTTGCAGCTGTCAGTTCTCACTGTCCTTTTGGGGACTCATTTCCATCAGTGTGCAGTATTTGTTGAGTACTCGTAAGAAATAAGGTAAGAGCGATATACCCCTCTGGAAGCCACGGATGACAGCTAACCCTTCACTAGGTTAGGAGCAGAGCGTTTGCCTTTGAGGGAGCAGGAATACATCCAGGCTTACCTACTTGTGCTCTGTTCAGAATTGACTCAGGACCAAACTGAACAAAAAGGAACAAAGGGTATTTCACACCAGCAGAGCTGCTTTTCTTTGCCCCTCTCTGTTGTTAAGTTGACCAATCTAAATGAAAACCTCATACTTCAAATAGTGAAGAATTGTGGTGCTAATGTGTTACCATGGTTCAAAGTTACTGCGAATTTCAAGTAGTCCCTGGCTTCAGTGGAATGAACACAACCTTTTCTGAGCAAGGAACAGCTTTCATATAACTGATCATATAACTGAATCATATAACTGAAATCACTTTCATATAATAAATGATGTGCTGAAAATATCTGTGGAAATAACTGCCCCAGAGTTAAGGGTACAGTGCAAGAGCACAACGTTCATAAAAGGTGTCATCAAGCAAACCAGTAGTTTAAGAATTTTGTGCAAATGACATGTATACTTTTTCATATGTTGTATGTTTGATACACATGTAAACATATATATGTACACACATGCAGGTATTTTCTGAACATGTTCTTCTTTGTGAATGTGAACCCCTTCCCACTCTGTACACACTGTGGTATTTCAGTAATACAACACTAGTGACATTTAAATGTTTGGGGAGAAGACCCTCCTGGAAAAAGTTCACAGGGGTGGGTCAACCTAAGTACTGAAAGAGAAATTCAAGTCCCATAGCACATTTGAAATCTATTCTTCCAGGGGCTGTAAGGAAATTCGAGAGCTGTTGTGCTGGAGAGAAACTGCTGGGCACTGAACTCTTTTTCTTTCTCCTCTAAATAAAACATAGAATAGGCTTTTAACTGCCTTTTCTCCATAATAGCTACTTAACCCTGTTCACTAACATTAAGAAAAAAAAAAAAAAGGAAAATTCCAAGAAAAATTCCTATTCAGAGTAAAAAATATAAATTAAACCAAAGTGCGCAATGCACACCCTTTTCTTTCCTTCCTGTTTTGTTTTGTGTTTTCTAACTCTGCTTTTTGGACAGCTGAATGGGGGCTGGGAAAGTGTTTACAATATTTTCACATGATTGAGATGGCAGAGTTCTTGCACTCTGTGAAAGGCCTTCTGTTTTCAGATGGCATTGAAAGTTTACCGTCTTTCCAGACAAAAGGAAGAGAGCCCGTTGCCAGCGGATGAGTAATGGGCATGGCCTCCGCACAATACCTCCTATCCAGTCCTAAATCTACATGGTGTTCTTAGGCTTCCCGGCTTCTCCAAAGCAACCTTTGTCTCTGCTCTGGGAGACCAAAACTACTCGTTGGGCAAGTGGGGATGCAGCCAAGAGGGGAAGGCTCAGTGACAACAGTTGCTCAGTGCTCACTGCCCAGTATCTGCCTCCTTACCATGCCACTATAATAGTTGGGAACCCATCAACAATTAAGCATCTTCTATACAAATATGTTGCAGACCATCTGTATAGTTCTCAGTTCCAGAAGATTCCAGTAACTCACTAAGTTTTAATATTATTTTTTTTTTCTTCTTAATCTGATGGGCTGCCCTGAGATAAGTGATTAAAGCAAAAAGCCTGACATAATTTCTTCGGAGCTAAAACTGCACAGAAGTTGCCAATTCCTGTATTTGTTTTCTTACAAGAAACTTGAAGCAGGCATTTTCCACTGTTAACAATTTTTAGGTTCTATCAAGTCATATTTTTTTTTCTTTTTGGTCAGAAAAATATTTTGGTGAAAATTATTGCTAACATAATCTTAGAAAATATTTGAACAGGCAATTCTGAAGTTTTTCCAGAGACTTGTTGGTGTTATAGAGACCAGTAGGTAATTTATTTTCTTGTTTCTTTTACAGAGCTTCCTAGAGCTTGTCTATTTAGAATTTATCTAAATGCGTATATGTGTGTGTAGGCTACCTATGCGTGGGGCACGTATGTGTGTGTGAAAGCATGTCTCTCTCTGAGTACCTGCCTAAAAGAACTTGCATTTCACTGTGCTATAAAGGGGATGAAGAAGAGCTTTCTAAGAATTAACTAAGCATTCATTAACTGCACTTAATTTTGACTGTCTTCTTGGCTAAGAAATGTCAGTATTAAGTTCTTATTCTTTCATGCTAATTTGGTGTTGCATAGCGACTCATGCATTGTCAGGAAAATAGAAGCAAAGACGTAAGAGATACAGGATTTCTTAAGGGTTGGTTGTAGCTGGTATACTGACTAACCTGTAGTAACCTGTACTGCTGACAGTCCTGGGTACACAAGCAATGCATTAAGGTTATTAGCAAAGCAATTTTCTAAATTACCTGAATGGAGCTTTCAAGGTAACTAATTCTATTATTTGGACTTTTTTTCCTGCCCCCCCAACCCTGCCCTCCCCCCACCTCCCCCTTCCCTTTTTGGGTTTTTTTTTTGAGGGGTTAACAATCTAAAGCAGCATTAAAATAATCTGGCTTAATTTCCTCTGCTGAAAGAGCAAGTCAGCTGAAATTTGGACATTTTGCTGAAAGGGGGGGAAAAAACAGGTACTTTTTGTTTTAAAGAGCATGACCATACACATTCTGCTCTAGTGCCTTTAAAGGGAACTTCCCTGTTTAAATGCCCTTGAGCAGAGAAATACCAACACCTCTTAATTGTTTAATATATTACAGCCTAAAACATTTACAGAACTGCTTTCCAAGTATTTCACTGTTCCAGGTGCTTGGTCCTGCACCTCCTAAAATAATAGACTATTTCCCCTCAGTTTTCCTGTGCTTGGTGCCACAATGAAACATATGCTCTGTATCAAGGGGAGGGGAAGTGAGGGAAGTAAGTGGGATGCCTGACATTGGTGCTGGTGCTTGCCTCATACACAGACCTCTCTGTCTTGCGTCACAGAGCTGCTAAAGACGAAGAAAATAGCATGGCTTGTACTTGGGCTATAAGGTCCAAGGAGAAAAATATCATATTGTTAAGCATGTGAATGTCACTCTGCACAAAGACCCCTTATCACTGTGTCCTCTGAGAAACATCACAAAAAAGAATAATAATTCTACTAATCAGAGGGGCTGGGCATACACCGGTGCACAGTACAGCTGTCTTGCAGCTGCCTTAGGCCATGCTCCAAAATGTATTTATTCTTGCATGGAGGTGTCATGAAGCCAAAGTCTGATGTCTGTCACATGTAACCAGGTTACAGACTGAGGCAAAAAGATTATTCGGAAAAAAAAGTATGCCTTATTTTGATCCAGTAAGGACAAAGTAAGATACAGTTTTCTTGGACTCTGCTTGAATAATTTATTTTTTAGCTTGCTTAGCCAAAAGAGACTGAGGCTTTTCCCCACTCGAGAAATAAATCTCCTAATGCAGAGCACTTATGTTCTGCCCTGACACACCAGGATTCGAGCTGTGCTGTCTCTCTTATCAGCCCATCGTGCTCATGAGCTGTGCAGTGCAGCCATGCCAAGCACGGATAACCCCGACACATTGTCACTCACGGGCACTGAGTGAAACTGGGCAGGCAAAGGGACTTAGTCTGGAAATGCATCCTCAGAAAGTTCCTTCTCCTTCTTGAAAATCCTCCCTACTGTGCAAATGCAGGCTAATGAAAATGGTTTAGAGAGCTGGGGTCTCATACCCTTCCAATGGTTCTGAGTAAGGGAGCAGCAGCTGGATGGTTTCCAGTAAGGAGCTGGAGGGAGAGAGGCTCTGTCTGGCCCGAGGGAGGAGATAATGTGCAGTTAAACAATTCTGTGAGAGTGGAGGACTGAATCTTTCCGTGGCTGCAGTTTCCATCAAGCACTTCCCAGCACAGTTGCCTGCCATCCCTTTGAACCCACGTCTCCCATGTGACAGAGCAGTGATCTGGCTGCTGAGCCACTAGACTAATATTGTTCTTTTAATCTCACAAAAATGTGTTATAAAAGAGTTGGATTCACATGAGAAATTAAGTATAAGATCTGTCCTCATAAAGACATTATACCATGAATGCTCTCTTTCTGCTGGCTGCAAGAATAGGTGGCTCAAGGGTGAAAGGGTAGCATTTACATTTAAATACACCTATTGGAATTGCACAAACAGAAGGCTAAAGCTACTGCTCCCTCTCTGAATGCTTTTAGAGTTTGCTGCTTTTTTTTTTACATAGTGGCATCTTTTTTTTTTTTTTTTTTTACATAATCAAAAAGGGGAATCAAGATGCTTAAGATCCCATAAAGTAAAGTAAAGGAGGTCTTTGTGCCAGCAAGATAAATGGATGAGCCTTTTCAAAGTAATTATTTTACTTTTTTCGTCTGTATGTGCCAGATTTCAACCAGAGCTTTCTCTGCTGTTACACTTACTGGTAGTGCTGGCTGGGTGGATGCTGTTTACATTTGCCAGAGAAAATGAAATGCACATTTATTTTATGTATTTATTTATTTTTGTATCTGCCAAACCCAGGTTTACCCTGTGATAAAACAGTAAGCTCCTTAACACCTGGAGAAAACAGAAACTGAAACAGGGTGGAAAGGGCATTTGGTGCAAGGGTAGCCTGGCAGCCATGGTGCAAACTCAGTGAAACCCTTGAAATGCACCTGCTTGACCCAGGCAAGGGCTTATTCCTTTTCCTCTCCAACATCTTACTCCCCTCTGTACAGTGACAGAGACTTATGAGCTGGAGTTATAAAAACTTGGGACTTACCTTTGCTCTTTAGGATCTCTGACTGAAGAAAAAAGAAAAGAAAAAGAAAAGAAATAAAAAAAAAGAAAAAAGAAAAAAAAACCCAAAGTGTATTTTCTTTGATTCTTTCTTCAAATTTAAAAGATGGCTCTTTTATCACAATTTTCCACTGTCCACACAAGGGCCAAAACCAAAGTGCGTGAATGAATGCCTTAAAATTACAATGTAGCTGGAAATCAGAAATCAGGAGCTCCATGCTGAACAATTTTTGCACATACTCCCTGATATGTATTAAATTACTACACAACGTAAAGCTAATAACACAAATCATTAAATATGTTCCAGACATGTCTGACCATTGAAATCCAGATCTGGGTGTGCCAGTTTCTTAATATATAGTTAATAATTTTTCCATGGAATATATACATAGATACATATGGTATCTTAATATATAATGGACAGTGGGGAACACTGAGTAATTTAAAAAAAAAGTTAATCAAATGATATGAACTTTGGAATCTCGGCAGAGGGAAGTGATCCCATCATCAAAGTACATTCAAAGGAAGGAAAAGTGAAGGAATCCATAACTCCATGGTCAGTATCCCTTCATGGGTCCTTGTTTTTAGAGTACATCTGACCATATTTTGTTTGGGTTTTTACAGTTTTGGTGTTTACAACACTGAGTGTCTGTATAAAACAAAACAGTTTGTTCCTTAGTCTTCCCAGTCCAGCAAGTCCTAGTCCTCCCAGTTAAGTCTTCCTAACTTTTATGATTATAGTATTGTAGTTGCTTTTGGGTTTTCATGTCATTAGACTGCGGTCAGAAGACGGTGCAAGTTACTGTTTGAGGTTTAAATCAGACACCTCCGTTCAAATTCAGGCAATTATTGGATATGGGCCAAGAAGTAAATGCTGGAAGTTTAGCATCATGAAATTATATCAAGCATAGCTCAGCTACAATCAAATATTTATTTCCTAGTCTGAGGCTCTCATTTTACGCTCTGAATGAATAAAATACAGCCTGACCAAACACAGGTTGTGAGACAAGCGCAAACTCTCCTTAGAGGTTAAGAACCTGATTTCTCTCTCATACCAGTTTTACGGTCATTTAGCTCCATTGACTTTGGTGGAATGAGTCCTGATTTACAACATTGCTTCAGTGCAGGTTTGAAGCTGTGCTACACAATAGCAGTGCTGGTGTCAGGTCCTTGAGAGCAAAGTGTCTTCGCATGGTGCTTGCCACAGCAGTATCAGTTCTGAGGCCATGTAGAAAATCTTTATTAAATCTATATCCATAAAGAACACATTTTGCAAACATTATTTTGGTTTCTTATTTGTGACATTATTTTATAATTTAATATTGGTTATGAGGTTTGTTGGTTTTTTTTTCTGCAATGATTTGTCACTTACTGAAGTAATTCTGGTGTTTCAGATCAGAAATATAGGTCAGAGGTTTACAAAGTCCATATTTGTCCCTAATTTTGGTTGGAACAGATACCATCAAAACGAAATTAAACCTAAAAAATGTTGTTAAATTTAAAAACAGGAGCTCAGCAACTGAAAAGATAGAATTAGTAATTTTAGGCATGACTTGGAAATTAGTTTACCTCCTGTCAGCTTTTCTAAGTGTGATTGTAAGTTTGCACACAATGGACTACCATTTCTTCAGTTTAATGCACACCACCATAGGAGGTCTCCTGTGCTGCTTCTTACCTCATATTGACTTCCTAGTGTAGAGCAGGCAGGAAAAAACATCTGAGTGAATACATCTGATTGAGCAGTGAGAATCTGTGCTCTTAGCTTGACTCATGTTGAGACAAAATACTGTGGGAAAGCTGAGCAAGCTGAACACAATAAATTTTCAGTCTGCTTCTCTGCTAGGTAGATACAACCTTGCCTGCTGGAGTTCTCCTTTAGGACCTTTAGCTCATGTAGGTTGAGGGTATAGAAGAACATATATGCTTTTGATGTCTCTCTGGTGTACTGCTTCAATTGCCAGAGTTCACTTTTCACAGTCCTTAGTCTGTCACTGGGAAGCTGTAGAATGATCTTCTTTATGAGCCAGCCCTTGTCTTCTTATCCAGTGCAATGGCCATGCTCTTTGGAGAAGAGATCAGCTCTCTTCACACAATCTGAAGTGTGGTAGGAACATCAGGAGGGCAGGGCTGCATTAAAAAGAAGGATTTGTTTCCTGAGAGATGGTATTGTTTCTCAGTTCCCAGCAGCAGAAACTTTAAACTAATGACCTTTCCAGAACATGTAAGCCAGCTGAGCCCAAGACTCATGTTCATTTTGATGATTTGATATTTTGTTATGATCATTTTTAGCAGGGACAATGTTTTGCAACATCATATTAACGATAATAATAAATAACACTGTACTCCGTTTTCTCCTCCAAAAACAACTTCCACTGTGGTTATTTACCCAATGGGTCTTGGGGGGGTTCTAAGCTTTTACAGTTGTCAGGGTTAGTACAAGACAGACTCTGTTGAAAGAAACAGGTACCTGTAGTGCCACTTCTGTGTTTCTCTTCCTCCCCCTCACCCAAATCCTGACTTAAGGGAGGGAGCAGATATTTTTTTCTTATGTGCCTGGCTTGCTGGGAGAGCCACATAGCTGTGGTCTGTTTGCTCAACATTAGCTGTGCTGCCCAAGTGTGAAAGCAAGCATGGAGTGTAGATTCTCTCTGACTTCTGTGGGATCTGGAGCAGATCCATGAGGAATGCTACTGTTTTCAGCACTTCCCTTGCTTTGCCTGAGACCAGGCACTCTGAGATATGAATGTTGTTACAGCTGCCACATTCTATATATAAGCCTCATGTTGATGATTATTGCCTTAAACTAGAAGGTCTTTGTTTAAAAATGTTTTCTTCCATCTAGAATCTACCAGGTTGTGTTATACTTAAAGCAATGCTTTCTATTTTTATTGTTAACAGCGTGCCTGGATTTTGCATAATATCACAGTTTGTATTTATAAAAAAATACTGTTTATTTATTTATGTATTTACGTATATATGTATGTATGTATGTTTTTTGGGTTTTTTTTTTTTGTGCAGACAGCTTTATCATAGTGGAGAACTAGCTCTGAATTAATTGAAATTAATTGGCTTATTAATTTTTCAATTGTTTATGTAATTTTCTGTTTTGGTTTCATTACTTCTAGTGGCTCTGTTCCGACCCACTCCCTCAATTATAATGCTTTTCTCTAAAATACATGAACTTTGTTGCGTTTCAGAGAGCTGCATGGTCAACTCATGTCACTTCTGTCACCCTGCTGAATGCCACATCACACTGCCAATGCTCAGGAGCACTGACTGCTGGCTTCTGCAAGAATGGAAGGAAAGGAAGACATGGACACATTGGCTACATCTAAACTACTAAAAAAGTTAGTCAGAGAATTTTCCTGCAGACCAACTGGCATGAAAGAACTTGAATCCACGCAGCTAAACTCTCTTGCCCTCCAAATCACGGTGGCCACATCCAAAATATCTATTGGTGATGGTGCCTGAACTGGGCTTTGTTTGAACCCAAGCTGTGCTTTGGCATTGTCTGGAAGAGCATGAACAGGCTTGCACCAAAACCATGCCAAGGACCAGTTTAGCGTACGGATGGTTTCGGGACCATGCCTTGCTGGTCTTGTTTAGTTTTTTTAGTGTCAGAGGGAAACCTCAGTAATTCTGCCAGGAGTCAACAGGAAACCCTTTCTGGCCTCAGTGACCAGAAGCTGCTGAGAAGTATAATCATTAGGTTGGTCACCTTCTTCACATTTGGATTCTTTTTCTCATTTCACTTTGTACCAAATGAGCACTGAAAATTTTTGAAATCTCATAGAGTCCTAAAATTTTACAAAACTTGTTAGTTTTGAACTACCAAGAGATTTCTCACACAAGCTGAGCTTCTGGAAAAGCCAGCTTCAGCTCTCCTCCCTGATGAAGGATGTCCTATGGCTTTGAGCAAGTTGCTAAGAGCTTCTGTGACCAGCACTGTGTTTTGATATAGGGGTAAAAAGCAATGAGGTATTGAGATAGAAACACACCAGGTGCTTGAGGTCACATACACATACTAAACTGATGTGAACATAAAACTCCCCTTGATTTCTGTAGCAACTTATTTCACATTGTTGGGAAGGCAATTTATTTAAAACCTGGTAAAAAGGACATGAGTATATTGTTACATCAGGATCTTTTCAAAGTCAGAGCTCTGGGGCTGGGTTTGGATAAGCCTTTGGATATGTCTTTCACATAGTGTGTGTGAGGCAGTTTGGAGAGATTGTGCTCTGTGTTTCTAGAGCTAACTCTGTGCAGTGGTCCCCCAATTATCCCATGGAACACTGTACTTCACAGTGTTATACTTCTGCCTGCAGCAATATAAATCAGAATCAGGCAATTCATGCCTGAATCTTTTTCTCTGTTCTGAAGATAAATGGCACTGAAGGCCAAGTAGTTTTAAAAAGCTCATAGTACAAAATTATTATATTAGGCTATTCTGTATTACTGAGATTACAGAAAATTGCCTATGTGTATTGAATTAAACCATGATTTTCCAGTGATCTCAGCAGCAACAGCAGAACGAGGACAATTTAATCATTGCATTGTTTGGTAGGTAACTACTATCCTGAATTGCTGCCCAGAATGAAAAAATTGGTATTGTTTTATCCAGAAACTAGCTCTTAATTAACTTCCAGCACTAGCCCTCACATTTCTTAGACCTCAGGCATATGTTTGAATTTCTGAAGCTGACAGGTACTGAATTCAACAACAGTTAAAGCAATGCATATTTTGCCTCAGGTTTGCTACAGGATGAGTGTGCTCTTAATTAATGTGGTCATTTGATGTACAGCATTTTGTTAAACTATTAGAAATTGATTGTATGCTTTCACCCAGTGTTTCTTTTTTGGGTAAAAAGTCTGTTTCATAATTGACCTATTCATGGATCAGTCACACAATGCAGGTTGTAGAGCCCTACATGAGCATGTAGTCACACCTGGCCCATGCTGTGCACATCTTATTTAATGAAAATGTTATGAAGTACAGAATCAAGTTGTTGCCCAGAATGATATACTCAGAAATTTGTATTTTTTTTTCTCTGAGTTGGATTTTGACAAGCAGGAAGTATGGTAAAGCAGAGGAGGAACATTTATCGAACATTTATCTAATTTTGCCTCCCCTTTCCTTCCCTTTTCTGTCTTTCCCCTCAATCTTCAAGCACTCTCCCATGGATGCTTGCATATGGCAGTGGCTCTACTCAGACCTACTGAGACCAGTGCATCAGTTAAGGCTTGTAAGGCCAAAATGTGTTTATTTTTGCAGTCTGATCTTGTGAGAAGCTGAGGAGGCATTGCTTTTCCCTCCTACTGATAACGGTGGTGTTGAAAGAGCTCAGTGCATTCCAGGGCAAAGCCTGTGGGTTAGAGAGCTGCTAACTCTCCTTTGGAAGTATATGCAGATTCCTTTGGCCTTCACTGGGGGAAAGCCTGGCTCCCCACTAAAGAAAAAGAAAACAACAGATATAAAGTCCCAACACAATAGTTGTGGTGGTCCAAATAAAACATAAAAACCCCAGTCTCAGTCCAAGCAATCAGTCTGGAGAGGCTTTGGAATTAGGGGCTTGAAGCTCGACCCAGGGATGAGTCCATGGTTTCTTTGTGGAAGAAAGGTGCAGGTTCTGGCCATGCTTAAGTGGGCTTTGGTGTGCAAAGACGTAGCCCAGCGGTCTGGGCTGGTAGTGTCTGCCTGCTGGATCAATGCTCATTCACCCTGAATGAAAGGCTCTGAGCTGTGCTCTGCAGCCATCACCCCAGGCTTCATCTCAGGCTCTTTTTGACCCTCTCTGGCTGTTTTAAAGCTGGATCCTTTCAGCTTATATTCTCTCTCAAACAATTCGCTCTCCTCCCCCCACCTCCCCACCCCTTCTCCACTTCCACAACTGAATTCACTTTTCCAAACTCCCCATTCCATCATCTATCCACTCCATATGTTTATATTTTCCTATTGCTGAGGCACGGCATGCTGACCTGCCTGGACAGAGCTCCTTTATCAAAGAGATAAACATGATGTCCCCCTCACATAGAGTTTCTATCATGTGTGACCTTTCATCTTGAACTGCCATGACCTTTTTTTTTATTAATGCTTTACTGTGCTGCTTGCAGAAGCCAGGAAAGAAAATCTTTTGTTTCTAGATAGAATACTGCTAAAGGACATGATACGGTCTTGTTTTTAATCCAGCTAATTAAAATCTGCATGTGCAGTGTAACTGAGAATGCAGCCTTCGCCCACCACTTTCCCACAGGCAGGGAATAAAGGCCTTTAGTGCAGCAGCAGCTAGCCACCCTTGGATAACAGAGAACAGAGACCACAATTCATCCCAGCTTTCCTTATCATATTCGCAGAGGGCTTTCCCCTCCCTCCCTCCCTCTCTCCCTCCCCCTCTCTCTCCATGGAATCACTTACTGTAGCTATGTGCCTCTATATATCACTGCAGAATGTAATCAAGTTAAAAATATGTTAGCTCACATTTATCTGTGCTTCAGTGAGCTTCAAATATAATTCATTTTTGTAAAAAAAAAAAAAAAAAAAAAAAAACAAAAAGGGGGGAAAGGGAAAAAAGAGAAAGAGAAAGAAAAAGAAAGAAAAACTGTCTTTCTAATCAAGTGTCAACCCTACTTATTTTAAAACAGTTCTGCCAAGAACTAACTGAATATCACAATCTAACAGTTCACACTTTTGTATGTTCATTACGTTGGCTTTTTTTGATTTACTGGATGGCTGTGGTTATTGCTAAAGCTGCCTTTTGTGTGTGTGTGTCAGGGAGAGGGTGCCATGGAATTTTTTCTTATGAAACATTTCCTTGGTTAGTTTTTCACTTGTTGGTTTTTGTTGGGTAACTGAAGTGGGGAGGGAGGAAAAGGAGGGCAGCCTGGTGAGAAGGAGCAGTGAGGGCAGAATGGGAAGCACTGAAATTGAGCCCCCACCTGTTTTCTCTTTCTTCAAGTCATGTTTTATATGATGATGATGAGGTCATCAGGAAGTATAAAAATGTGCCAGGAGATTCAAAACTTGGAAGGAGATTGTACAACATGAGTAGAAAATACATTTCATTGCATGTGTAAAAGCCCTTCCCCCAGAGAAGCACACAAACAGGCTTTTCTGTGGTCATTCCCTGGTAACCCGCACAAAGAGCTGCTCAAACAGCTGTGCCTTTGGCTGAGCACCATCCATGGGACTGCTGTGGAAAATGCTGATTTTGGGCCATTAACTTCCCCAACACAAATTCAGAGAAATATACTTACAGTTATTAATGGAAGGGATTGTGAATCCTGAATAAATATGCTCCATGTTGGAAAATTATTTACTTCATTTATTGTAAAAAGGTATTCATATGTGTGTTGTACCCAGGGAATGATTAAAGATACAAGAAAAAGGGATGTTTTGAATTCCAATGAAACTTACTAGGTGGCATCAGTCTAACTAAAGCACCTGACACCATTTTTAAAAATATCTAAATATTTTGAAAACAGAGAACAGTATGATGAAAAGATGTCATAAGTACCATGATACCTATATATTAAAATATGCCATGTTGATCAAGCACAAGAGTGCTTTTCATCAAAATTTGGTTATCTTATGCTGAACTCTATAAGCAGGAATAGAGATCTGTACACTTTTCTGCTTTTACTGCCTGTGGAAAGACAATATTAAGTAAGAAGCAGCTACACTTGTATAATTCTGATATATTATATTTATATACCATGGCAAAAGTTTTTATGTATTTTTGGAATTAGTGTCAAATCAGTAGAACAATGCAAGCCAAGAAGACATTTATCTGTATCTTACCAAGTTAAGGTTTTCTGTTTCTCATATTTTGAGGAATATATTCAATAATTTCTCTTTCATAGTGACACCTACTTTGACACATTGAAAAGCTTGCTAATGTCAAGTCACATATTTGATACAAAACTAGTGTTCGCATATTGCATAAGCAACATAAGATTTATGAAACTTCACGTATTCCCTTTAAGTGGGCTAATCCTAATAAATATGGCATTTTTTATTGTTGCTTAGGAGTCTTCCTTAGACATAAAATTAATTTGTATTTTGGAGGACGATTGCAATTTTTATGGGGAGAGGCAATGTTAAATTATGTCCTGTAATTCCACGTAACTAATAACATAAATTAGGGTGGTGATAATTATTTTTGTCACTAATAGCTGTTGATGAAGAGCACATTTCAAGGAGAGGTCACATAACAAGAACTGAAAATCAACCTATTGCTATGTTAGTCACACATGGAAAGCAACATGGCATAAATTCCCTCTCAAAGTTACTGAAGGATGCTGAACATCAGGGCATGCTAAAGATCAGGCTTAATAATGGGGCATAAGTCTCAGATCCCCACAGTGAATCTAATGTATTGAAAATCAGGATGTCTTTACTAGGTCTCTAAATCACTTTATGCACTCAAAACTACATTCACAAAGTTTAGCTTGGGATAGGACCCAGAAATGCTTAGGAGGTTCTTGTCAATACATTTCATGAAAAGAAGATCAAAATGACATTCTGTAATCTCACATGTGGGACCTAAACCCACGCTTCTGATGTTCTGATTCATCTGTGTCATCAGCAACCGTTTGCAGGGATTCCTTGTTGGTGATACCATGGAAAATAAGACTGTGACAGGAGGCCACACCTGAAATTTTGAATCAATCTTTTGATAGTTTTCAATTGACATTTCAAAAATTTGTTTCAAAGTTTTCAAATTTTCATTGTTTATACATCTACTTTTTATGCCACTTTTTTATTAATATTGAGCACAACAGATACATACTGATCTTTAAGAACTACACTAAGTGAAAGTTCAGAATACCAAAGAGTCTGACATGTCATTGATGGCAGATATTTAAAATATTCAGCTATGGCTGCAAAAACATCCCTTTAAAAATGACCGTTCTTCTTTCCTATACTAACCTCATATCAAAGCAAGTACTTAAATCAGTGCCAAAATGAGTGAAAATAATAATTGTGATTAAATTCCTTTTGACACTGCAAATTCCCCTCACAATCCAATTCTTAGATTTCACTGCATCCCTTCTTAACAAAAGCTGGCTGGCCCAATTGTGCAAGAATGTTTTATTAGGCTATGAAACCCAGGGCTGGTTAATCAGGCCCTTTCTGCAAACAATAAAGACCAAGGCAGAAATGCTGCAACCAGACTGATGATTCAGGGGGACAGTAGGAGGCAGCTGCTGCACTGCAAACAGAATGTGAGTCACCCTCTCCCTCGCTCTTGAATGAAAAAAAAACAAACCAAAACAATAATATGATTGGAAATTACTTTCTCTATCCTCAGATTGAAGGAAGAGAGTGGCAGCCCATCTGTCCTTGCTTAAATAATAGGTAAGTTTATTACTGGTGGTGGATGGAATGGTGTAGCCACATAGCTCTGGAAATGAAAGAGTAATGCTGATCAAATAATCATGCCAAAGTCAGGTTTTACCTACTAGGAGTAATTCTGTATGAATAAAAACCAACTTGGAGCTGGGTTTTAGCCTTCTGCAACAGCGTAGTCACAACAATAAACCTAATAAGTAATGGGAACATAGGGACAGTGCTTGTTAGTTATAAATAATTCATTATCAGCAATGGGAAGCCTGTGGTAGCAGCAGGAGCCCAAGGTTGGTTCCCTGCAGGTACCTGGCAAATGAAATGTGGTAGGCACACACCATGTTTCCTCTCCTCACCAGGCTTCAGTGAGAGGTATAAACTACTGAAACAGAACTGGGGAACTGCTTGCTGAAGGGATTATAAAGACTTCCTTCTACCCATTTATCCCTTGTTTGTCAGTAACTCACAGGTATTTTTCTGGAACATGGTCATGTTCAGGAGCAACGTGAACTTCCATTCAGTTCAGCATTAAATTGAAAATGGGTCCTTGCAAGCTCTTCTTCTCTACCTGTGGTAAGAAGCCTTGAACTCCTTTAAAGAAAAAACAACAGAAATCCATTTCTCCAAATTTAAGCCTAATGCTGTTCCCATTCATATTGGTTGTATCAGTGTGTCTACCTACTCCAACATCAGGTTTTTATCTTTCCCTGCAGGAAATAAAGTTCTGAACCGTACCTTCTGTACCTTCTGCCTAAAACCAGGAAGACAGTTTTGGGTAGGTAGAGTATCCAGAGATCAGTTTTCTGAAATTGTGCTCACAAGCAATTAGCCAGAGTTTGGCTCTCTCAATTTGTTCACTTCTTACAAGGGTGGCAGTGTTATGACTTTTGATACAAATGCAGTAATACAAAGAAAAACAAAACAACATGTTTTGCACATTTTCTGGTACCAAGGGATTCCTATTAACTGCTGCTGTTATTTAGAAATACTTGCATATATATATATGTAGTCTTTCTAATTCTCTCAAAAGAAATGGGAACAGGATTATATCTGAGCAAGCTAGCTTAACATTTACTATGGTGACTAAAATAATTCATGGTTCATCTCACTTTTACCTTTTTGTATACTAAACACTGAATAATTTCTCTCTGACAGACAAGTACTATGCATATGCATGGCCCAACACTTCTACCTTGCTCCCTATCACTGCAGGAGGATTGGGATAATTCTTCTGTTTGCACCAGATCAGGTAGGACATTGGTAACAGCAGACCTTTTACTACCACTGCTGCAGATTTTGGGTTCCAAAAAGCTGAAATGTGCTGGGTGCATCCCTGAGAGTTTTAACCTATTAAAAAAAAAATTAAAAAATGGAACATCTCTGAAAGTTTCAAAGTTCAAAATTTAGCCAGCATCAAATATGGCATTATCTGTTTTTCAGAGGCAAACATGTGAGTGCTTAGAAGAAAATACTCCTGAACACAAGCCGTTGTTGAAGTTTACCTCTGATGACATCTTTGGGAAACACACTGAAACACCCCATAGGAACAAGGAATGCATAAAGCCTGCAAGCTCTTTAACAGGTGGAAAAGTCATTCTGTGACAGCTAAGAGATGAAATCAAAGAAAGGAGACCTAGTTCAACAGACATGAGCTTTCTGAATGAAGGCAACCGAAAGATCAAGAGAATCAAGAAAATAATATGAGTGATCAGCAAGCTGGTGAGGCACACACCAAAAGTCAGCTTCAGGTGTGCTTCCATCAGCTGCTTGCTCTGAGAAAACATCACTTCAACTGCATTTTTTGCACCTGCAAGCTGGTTATCTGGACTAGCCTGATACTTAACATGTACTCTGAGAGTTTGCTCTCCTTTTTCTGATGCTCTGTTGATGCCTGGCCTTGGTGCTTGGGCTTAGGGCCCTGCATGATTTAATTGCACATTACAACAAAGATTTTTGATTTATACTTTCTAACTGCATTCTCTCTTACATTTCAAAGTGCTTGAAACATTATGATTCTCTATAAAAGTCCTTGCCCAGATATGCTTTTTCAGAGACTCATCTTCTCACACCATGTTTTTCTAAGAGTTTTTTTATTTTGGTGGTTACTGCCCTGACAGATGGAATTCTTGACTCTTCCATTTGAGTCTGGTAAGTAGTCTAAAAAAAGTTAGCTGGCCTTGCTGTCACTTGAGAGGTTGGGACTTCATTTCTTTCTTTATTTACAAACAACCCAGAACATTATTGGTATCTATAGTGAAGATGGAAATATTGCCATTGGATCTAAACTGAGGTTCAGGGGGGACCACTGTTTTAAAAGTAGTGAATTTAGAAGACAAATGTAAACTTTCTTAGTGTGATGAAACATAATGCATTTATTTGAAGTATGTTTCAAAAAAATGAGACTTGAATGAGCTTTGAACTTAGTATATGAGTTGACTTTTCATCTCTGACTTTGACTTGAATAGCTGTCAAAATACTATTAATTATGATACTATTTTAATTTTTTTAGAAATTCTTTGTACAGTGCCTTGACGAAGATCATAACATAAATTTGGGCAGTTGTAAAACTCTTCCTTCTCTTTCTAAGCATTTACTCTTGGAACAAATCCTGCTGAAGTCCCTGGGAGTAAAGGACAATCTGGGAGAGTTGCTAATCTTATTCTTACAAGAGCTGTGTCTTGCCTGCTATCCTGCTTGGTGTCTGTCAGGCTCACGATGGAAATAAATTATCCTTTGTCAATGTCTTGTTGGTAGATTTAAATAAGTCTTAGAAGATTAGTGAGACACAGTTTTCTCTGTAGAAACTGCTGATTTGACTCTGTGGCATCCTGAACATCCAGTCATTTTGTTATTTTGTTTTTAATGACTATTTCAAAGGGATGCCTTTAACAACCAGTAGAGACCTTTCTAAATAAAGGTATGACACTTGTTCTCTCCAGTCTTCTGAAAAAGTTGTTGTTTTCATGTAGTCTGATATTTTAGTTTCCTCACAATTTGCATGTCTTGTGGGTCCAGTAATTTTTTTAAAGTTTCATATGTTGGCAAATCAAAATTTTTCACAGCTGCTCCTCTTTATTAAAAAAATCAAACAAATGTCTACCCACCCCAAAAAGCCAATTCCCAAAAAAATCCCAAACCTAAACCAAAAACAACAAAGCACAAGAAATTTTGAGATTAGTAATTCCCTGTCATTCTGAGCAAAGATAACTGATGCTGAAAAATAATATAGCTCTCCAACAAAATGCCACAGATTTTCTAATTGCTTTCTTTAGGTCCTCCCAATCTAATGCCATCACTTAGTGTTGTATGACCTTAGTATGTATTTACTTCTGATGGACATATTTTTTTTTCCCCACTACCTCTCAGCTTGTGATAAACTCTCCAGTTCTTGTCCCAGCTTCCTGTTCCTGTATACAGAACATATGTCAGAACTGGCTTAGCTGGAAATTAAAAGAAGAAAAAAAACCAAAACCAACAACAACAAAACCCCCCAAAAACTAGAGACATAAACTATAAAATAAAAAATAAAGAAGTACAAGCACCAACCCAGTATGAGCTTTAGGGTGTTAAAATCAAGATTTTGGAGATCCTAGAGTTTCAGTTGTCATGTAAGTGAATCTGAGATTTTATTTCCTTTTTTGCTGTTGTTGCTAATATAAATTTCTTTGGCTTGTAAAAGTTTCAACGAACCCATGGCTGTTTCTCATTAGTGGTGGCTGTCACTAAAATGAATATGTTGCTGAGTGTTCAGTTTCTGGGAAACGTGGTTGAAACACGAGCAGCTCTCTCGATGCAGAGCTCAGAGTCAGATGTTTTCAGAGGGGATGTTCCCCATTAAGTAATGACAGAGAACCATACGGAACACATTACAAATCGAAATACTGATTGATGAAGTGCCTGTGGTCAGCTTTCTACAGAAATGAGAATTTTGAACGTATTATCACGTCAGCATGGAATTGATCTCATGTACAATCACATTTTGTTTTCATTTCTTTTTTGCTTTACAGTCTCACACGTGTTGTTCCAGATCACGTTTATAGCGAGCAGAACCTCAGACTAAAGGAAATAAAGCATCAAGTTTGAGCTCTGATGTTTCATTGATTTAGCCAAGTTCACAGAAGCCAAATATGTCTGAGTTTGTTCACACAGCTGGTGAGCTATAAAGTCTTTCTCCCTATAGCAAACTTCTCCCCTCCTTCCAAGAGCTGGGAGAAGAGACTCGGAGTTTGCTGGAGCATGCAGACCTCGGGGAGGGAGAAGTGGGGTCACCTGGTCAGGCAGAGTGGCTCTTGTGTGAGATTGCATTTATCAGACTAAAAGCTCCTCTTTGTCTTCCCTAAAGTAGGTGCTTTCCATCTTCCACTTAGCTCATGTGCAGGGGTTCAGTAAGGAAAACCAACTGGTTCATGCTGACTTTAGGGCAAGATTGCTTGATTTGTTTGCATTCAAGTTACTTATTATTCTAGCTGTAAGTTCAGGTTTGTTTCATATATACAGTGACCTCTTCTGTTTTATACAGAAAGCAAACAGGGCTGAGTGTATGAAACCTGTGTACACAAATCTCAATGAATGCATGTCTGAGTTGCAGTGTATTTAAAGAAAAATATATAGTCAAATGGTAAAGTTAGAACCTTGGGTCAAGTAATCTAGCCCATTCCCCCCCCTCCCCAACAATTCTTAATTGGTGCTTCAGTAAAAGCATGAGCTAGAATAGACCTAGACACATATTTAGTGCAGTCTCATGAACACTTCAGTATTTCTCCTTTCTGAGATCCCAACATGAGATTATTAAAGGAGTAAGGCACATCAGGTGTGAGAGCTTGTCTTGCTTGTGCCTTTGCTAATGGAAACTCACTCAAGTGAATAGAGTTGCTTGGTTTACATTTGCACAGCTGAAGCCACGGCTTGGCCTAGGACCTAAAAGTTAGAACATAAGGGAAAAATAACAATCAAATGTCTGCTAACGTCTAGAGATGTGAACAGTGGACTGAATCTAAAATTAAAAACAAGGAGAGGGAAATATCAGACATTCATGTAAAGAACTTGGGTAAAATTTAGGGTCTATTTTTTCATAATCATTGATTTCAGGAAATTTGACCTGAATTTTTGGAATTGTTAAGAATGCAGAATCCTTAGCTGAGTTTTCTGAAAATTAAATCTTTGAGGCTTATAGCAAAAAATTAAATCTCCTAGCCCTCTTAAATACCTGTTAATGGTTGGGTTTTTTCCTAAGAATTAGCCACGGTAAACTGTCTTCCAGGGTTTTGATTTCTGCCCTTCAGAATTCTACAGATGTCCTTCAAAATGCAGAACAAATGTACCTTCCTGATAAGCAGTTTGTTACTTTTCACTTTGTGTTTATTCATGTCAGAAATGTGCTCTGGTATGTAAGGAAACAATAGTGTTTAAGTGCTTAATTATTTCAAAGGACAAATAAATGTGGAATAATATGAAGAAATATTTACAAGCAGCAGGGATATCAGATTTCAAGTTATCTGTAGCCTTCATAATTATTTCAATGTTCTTGTGTTATTAAAAATACAATGCAGATAATATAGTGATAGAAATTATGAGTAATTAGCTGAGATTCTACTGTCTTTCAGATATTTAAATCAGGAAAACTCTGGAAGACTTTTTGACAGTGATGGTTAATCTTTGGCAAGAGATACGGACTTTTGGTGGGGCTGAAGGGCTTTCTGGTAGGAGGAAGGTTGGGAGAGCTGAAACTGTCATTCAGATTGCCTTCTCATGTACAATTTTCTTAGCATACACAGACCCTGCAGCCTTTGTGGCTTTTCATCCAGCACTATGAGCTCAGCTCTCAGAAATGTTGCAGTTGTATTTTTGGTACTGTCCAGGAATTGCAAGTTTGAGCTTAGATCAGGCACAGATTAGAAAAGACTCATTGAGCTTTTATCTGGCATGAGGTTGAGATCTCATGAATCCTGTTAGTCCTGGAGGATCAAATATTCCAAAGTCCTCACTGAGACTGCTCCCCTAGCCCAAGATGAGAGCAATAGTCACAGTCCTTTCCTGAACAGGAGAGCATCTCAGGTGAGATGAGGGAAAGGCTGATGGTGCTTCCTCACACCTTGGGTGTATCTCAGGAGGACTGTCACTCCCATAGTACAGTTTGGCCTGTGATAGATGATTGAGGCTCTGGTGCCAGAAAGACTAATTATTATTGGACTGGGTGCACACATGCACGTTTCTGGCATTGTTACCAGTAGGTAAGTTTTGTGACTTCTAGGCTTGTTCTGCTCTGAGAGGAAGCAAGGGTGTGGCTCCTGGCTCCTAAAGCTGCTCCAGGCAAGGGCTGAGCAGGCTTGCCCTGCAGAGCCCTGGCTATGTGCCTGAGCTGCTCTCCTGAGCTGGAGCTAGCATTGATGTCAATGGGTGGTGAATAAACAGAGCTGCAGAGTGAGCTCAGTCAAACAGGTTACCTGCAGGCTTGGGCTCCCTTTTTTTCTTTCCAGCACTAGGCACCCTAAAACTGATAGACTACCTCAATGAACTTGAGGTTTTTCTATGGATCAGACAAAATAAGGAAATTCCTCTTTTGCCTTCCACTGAAAGTTTCTAAGCTTCTTCTGGGACCTAAATCAGAGAATTAGGAATCTAAATATTATTGAATTTATCTGCTTCAGAGCTTGGTTTTTTTTCCTGTATACACATGAATATAACAGTGTAGTTTTTTTCTCAGATAAAAATATTCAGATAGTATTACGTGAATTGCTATAGCTGTAGTTACCATTTTCCACAAGTATGGACAGAGACTTGCCAATATAATCATCACTAGCACAGATTTCTCTTTCATTATTGTTTCTTTTGAATGGCTGTGTTGGATTTTGTTCCTTTGTAGAGGATTACTTTATTTTTTTAAGTTGCCAGATCTTATGCATTTCAGCAATTCTAAAAAGAATATTTTCAAAATGGTCACGTAACTAAAGATTTTCTCTCTTTCTCAGATGTGACCTAGTGCTTGTATGTGGGCCTGGAAATGCAATTACCTGCCAAAGCACAGTGAAACTGGTGTGACACAGACCACTAAATCTTCTGACACTCTTTTCTCATATAGAAGATTTGGCACTAGTACAAGCATTTAGGTTACTAGTATGTGTTTTTGTTGAAAAAAATCCCAGTACAACAACAATTATAGATATAAAGACATCCTATGTTGTTTCTTCCCTGTACTGCTATTTCCTTTCTAGGCTGAAATAGGTGATACCACTCAGAGTACCAGTATAACTGCACCAATATTAAATGTTGTATTAACTATATCTGATATCTTGTTGAAACTTGTGACAGGTTCCGAAGTGCTAGTCTGTTCTGAAACTGAGATTTAAGGTCTAATTCCACAAAACTTCTTTGCTTTCCTTTTAGATTGGGAACTTTTGTCTGTTTGGCTCTCTTGGAAGACTTTTCTGTGATTATATTTATGTTGCCAAATCAGATTGGGATTCAGACTTCGGGTAGGACTTTGGGTGTTATTATTTTTGTTTCATTATAATGATAAGACAAGCATTAGGAACAGTGTGAATGAAGCCTTTAAGTAAGGCTTGAAGTTTTTGAAGCAGAACTGTTTCTCACCAGAAAAAAGTCTATACTAATGTTGTACTTCTTTATGAGACTTATTTTGAGCTTCCCTAGAATTTTTGAGGCAGTCATCTGAGATCTAAATAGCAAGGCTGCCTAAAAAGTAAACAAATCCTTTTAGATGTGGTGAGCAAATCAGACTGGATATGAGTTCCGAGAATGTACAAAATTAAATCTAGTTTAGCAGCAGAAATGTTACTGCACAGCGATAGCACACACGTGACTCATCCCCAGTGTCGCAACACCATTAACCAGAGAGATTGGCCACAGAGATGACTGTTCTTGGCCTTGTTGGGAATACCAGTAAGAAGCCTAACCACTGCTAGCTGTGCTCTTTTTTAACTCATGTGTTAGTCATATGCAGAAAAATTTATTCTCAATTAAGTCACACTGAGTAGCACCAAACCATTGCAGTTGCTGGATTTCCATGGGCACTCCAGGACACGTGAGGATATC